AAAAAAAAAAAAAATTGTTTGCTCGCCTGTAACCATGCAATTTTCCTGGAGTAATAGTAGTGACAGTCACATGACCTACATAAGTCATGCTGGCCAATGCCTCTCCTCTGAACCCCATTGACTTAATCGACTGTAAATCCTCGTAATTAGTCAGCTTCGACGTTGTATGCCTCTCGCATAATATAGGCAAATCCTCACGCTGCAGAAAATTAAATCAAATCAGAAAAAAATTATTTTACCTTTGAAAATTAAAATTTGAGTTTTTTTTTTATTTAAGTACGCGAATGCCGTGGCCGTCATCGGAGACTTGAATGAGTTTAAGGCCACCGTCTTTAACAACGACGTTTATAGAGGTAGAGTGCGCGTCGAGGCTGTTTTCTACTAGTTCTTTGATGGCTGAAACAGGGCGTTGAATTACTTCCCCGGCGGCGATTCGGTTGACCACGGACTCATCTAGACGGTGGATTTTTGGTGGTTCTGATGGTGAGTATGGTGTTTTTTCCGTTTTTATTTCCATTAGGTCGGTTTCCGGTGATGTTGGAGGTGAGTGTTCACCAGGTTCCATTTTTGTTTAGAAGAAGAGAGTGAAAATGAGTGTCTTCCCGAGTGGTGTTGGCGGGTCACGAAGGAGGGAAAGAATTACGGTTATTTTCTTATATTTTGATATTTTAATTGGTTGGGAGATTTAGGTCCTTGAATTATGCAGATTGTATCAGATTAATCACTCTACTCTAAAAATATGCAATCCCATCTTGTAGTACTTTAATTTGAAGACACCCGATGAAATTTACGAGCTCTTTAGTAATGGAAAGTTTTTCCATTTTCGCTCCATTTCTAGTTTGCAAATTTTAATAAACAGTCCGAAAATTGAAAAATATGCGCAAATCATTTTTTATTATTTTTAAGAAAAGTCGTTTGGTTGGAAAGTTGACATCTTCTTTGAAAAATTCTAAGAAATTGACATGATTGAAAAATCAAAACTATTTGGAAGAAAATCAAATAAAAAGATTGTTTCACATTAAAAAGATTTAGTAAAATAGTATTTTTTTTTATATTTTTAAATTTATTTTTTATATAAAAATATTTTTTAATATTGAATTTATTAAAAATTAAATATCATAATTTGTTAAAATTTACTTTATACAAGGTTATCTCAATCTCATAACTTGAATCATAAGTTTGATAGATTAACTATTTTTTTATTTATATTTTTTTAATTAAAGTTTTTTTTCAATTTTATTCTTTCATATTTGGTTAATTGGGTTTTAAACATTTTAATTTAGTTTGTTTTGCTAGTTGTGACATAACCCAAGTTGACTTGATTCGTTTTTTTTTGTGTTTTTTTTTTTTACAATTCCATCTTCCAAGATTGAGTCATTTGAGAATTGAGTTTTATAATTTATTTTGACTTACTTTTCATACGGTTATTTTTATTTCATGACCTTAATTGTGGATTTAACAGATTAATCTAGGTTGACTCTTATTGTTTTTTTATAGGGGTAAGCAAAAAACTAAAAAACTGATTAAACCCAGAAAACAAAAAAAAAACCAAAAAACTGAAGCATGAAAAAAATTGATTAAATTGATTTAAAAAACCGGCTAGTTCGGTTTCGGTTTTACAAGCCTGAAATAAAAAAATTGAACTGTACCCAAACAAAAAAAAAACCGAGCAAAACTAGAAAAAACCGGGTCAAACCAGTTTGAACTGATTTTTATTCTAAAATAACCGAATCGAACTAAAACCGGTCGGTTTGAACATATTCCTATTAGGTTTTTTAAACCGGTTTGGTTACTTCTTTTTGATAAAAACCAAACCAAACTGAAAATAATCACTCATATTTTTTTATACTTATTTTATTTTATTTTTTAAAATATTTAATTAATTAAAAATTGAGTTTTATAATTTATTTTAATTTACTTTCTATAGGGTTACTATAGTTTTACTACTCAAATCATGAATTTGTTATATTAACTCAAGTTGACCGACATCAATCTAATATATTATTATTTTAATATTTAAAAAAATATTAAAATTATTTTTTAATCCAATTATATTTTCACTTATTATTTAAATTATCAAATTATATCAATTAATCATGTTTTTACTAAAAAAAACACATTACCAACAATTAAATATATATTTTTGCGTTAAAAAACAAGTCATCTGACCGCTGCGTAGCACAGGCTAATAACCTTGTTGATGCTACCCCCATCAGCCTCGGGTATATTTGAGTTTTGTCCCTGTGTTTTTGTTAAATAGTTAATTTAGTACAGATATAATC